GGGGGTGGTCTGGCATTGGTACGGTTTCCTTTCATCAAAACCCAGCACACAGCCAAAACCAAACAAAGTGTGTCAGACCAGGTCCAGCGATGTTTGCATCCGGGTTTTTAAGATTTGTCTTGTCGCCCGTTCTGGAAACTACAGTCGACAAAACCGGCGCGGTGCATGAGTCGCTGGTCGGTGCCTTCGTCTGATGGACCACGGTGGCCCCAAAAACCAACTGACACAGCACCGGCGGACACCACCCCGAGCCAAAGAAGGAGTGTTTCTGTTTTCTACTCTCTCGTCTTTAAGGTTGCCGGGCCGTTGCGGGACGGCAGAAGGGGAGGCTAAAGGAAAAGGGCAAACTTCACTTGGAATATGCACAAACGGAAAACAGCATATTGAACACCCTGGGCATCAAACTGCTGGCCAGCCATCTTTGAGTCAGCTATCAACAACGGCACTGTACTCTTTCGGCCCCCCTCGCTCCCTGCCGGCAATCTATGCTGCATGCATGCAGTATCGAACAACTCTAGAAGATCCGAGATCTAAAAGAACAGCGAGGGACTCGCTTGCATGCGGCCGTTGTCTGTTTGCCGGTGTTTCGAAACACGCCTTTGCTAAATAAAGAGCCATTTTTGTCTAGTCGATACCATACTCCGTACGTGCAATGGAAATGTCGTACGGAGGGAATTTGGAGTACTACTTTATGGGCTCTATCAACTCTATCGACTCTATCGACGCTGTATCGACGGCACGAAAGCAAAGGGTGCAATTACAGACAACCCCTGCCACTCAAGGCCGTACGGCGTCGCACTCCATACGGGCCATTTGGAATGGGAAACGAGAGGGGGAAATAAAAAACGCGCTTATTGCTTCCACGTTGCTCGGGCCCCTTCTCCGGAGCCGGCTGTTTTGTGGTTCCAGAACGCGAAGTATTCGGGGGGCACGAAGAGGGGAATGGCTTCTCCGGTTTCCATACGACGACAAGAAACGAAGATGATCGACATGTGTGCCTATATATGAGTGTATCGAATGTCAGTGGACAATTGTCACGGTCTGGGAGCAATGAAACGGCAAGATAAAAAGGGGAGAACAGAAGAAAAAGACGCACCGAACCAGCCACACGGCTGCGAGAAGGTCTGTGCCCACCGGAGATTTTTTTTTCTTCTCCTTCTTTGGTTTTCTTCAACGAAGGCCTTCACCTCGCATGGGTCACCGTTACAAGCTGGGGTGGTATGAGAGAAAAGAGCACATGAGCTCGAGAGCTCGAGCTTCGAGACCGTCGACACGTTCGGTGCGCGCCCGCACAGATCCTTGCCAAGAATAAACACGGGAAACGATGGACAGCTACCATGCATCGCGCAGTCTCCACGGACCGCGGGTGCAATGTTTGTCTCCGATGGAAATGCAGTCTCCATTGCAACAGAGCATGCTGTTGAAAGTGCTTTTGAAAGTGCTTTTGAAACAGCCGTTGTCTTGGTGTCGACGCGGTGATGGGGTGCGTTAAAAGAGGCTGGTGTAATTGTAGGCGAGACGGCAGTCTCGTGGCAACATATAGCATATACGTTTTGGAATATGCATTTACGACCAGCGCGGCTGCTGTGGACAGCGGATAATTCAATCATGGCAACAGAAACGTGCTCCGCGCTGTATGGGATAGAAGAGGCGGGAAAACAGGTGGCCAAAGCAAAAGGCAGAGAAAAGGCAGATATATTGAATAATCCAGAGCAGAAGCATAGCAGACGCGATAAGAATATATGTGACTAAATAATAACGACGTACGGAGTACGACATGCAATCAAATCATTTATTTGAATACGTTGGTATGCTGTACACGGATCTGTCAGTTTGTTGTCTTCTGTTTTATTTCAAAACAACCTTAAACCGCGTGGACCTCTTATTCGGAAAATTCGGTCCGGGGCAAGACAGATTTGCATATTCAACGGGACGGTCTTGTCTGGAGCGGATGTGCACTTAATGAAGCCGGGGCACAAACCAAAGAATGCTCGTATTGCTAGTTTCGTTGTCGTCTCTGCGTCTGGATGTAGACAGATTGTTTGCTGTTTGCCCGACCCCGTTAACGGCGAGCCGACAGTCTTGTTCGACCTAGAGAAGAGCCGAGAGATGACCTTAGCAACGAGGAGAGTACGTCTCTTTTTTCCAAACGTCGCGGCCGATGGACTTTTTCTCTTTTGCTCTGTTCGATGGATGGCATTAAAAAGTATGTTCAGCTGCTGTATCTGTGGCCAGAAAGACAGCAGGCATACGTCGTGGAGCCTTGCCGTTTCCATGTTTTGTTGTCTGTCCTCCTTGTCCTCCATGTCCTCTCATACTCGTTGCCCCTATTTCTGCCGTCGTTGCGTTGCATGTCGTGTCAGATGCGCCGTAGAAACCAGGTTAGCAGTCCGGGTCCTCCGCAATACGACACAATACAACAGACTAACAACGTCCCTGGAAAGTCCGCTCTGGCCAAGCCTGATCCTGGCCGAGATCCTTGAAAATAGGATCCTCACGCCTGCACAATATGAATGCTCAGCACGGCAAACGCCTGTGCAGAGGCACAGCAGTCTTGGTGTCCCTCGGCGACGCTCCCAAGCAAATGGCTAAAGAAGAAATGCTCCGCAGAAGGTGAAAAAAAAGCACCGGCCAGCCTAGGCTCTGTAGTCCTGCACTTCCTGGGACGGTGTCGGCCATGTGTCACTGTGCAGAGAGAACAAACAGCTCATGGACATCATGAATAGAAGAATCTCGTAGCATAGAAAATAATATGCCAAAACGTAGAGGACCGAGCGTGGAGTGGAGAGTGCAAAGGCAAAAGCACGTCGTGCTCTGGGCTGCCGTAGCTGGTAAATGACTCGCGTTCGCGTCTGAAACGTTCAGCCTCGCGCGCTCGCTCGCGCGCAAGAAACAAACACCCAACACGAGAACAAATCATAAGACAACAGACACCACTGGCATCGCGTCGAAACGTGACCAGTAAATGGCGCGTGTCGGAGGGTGAGGGCTGGCCTGCAGGACCATGCAGAAGGATGCAGAAGGATGCAGAGAGACGCACAATGCTGCAGGCAGATTCTGCATGCGCCTGCACGTCAAAGACTGGGAACTCATCCACTTCTGGCGATGTTGGCTTTGCTGTAGAGGCCAGCCAAGATCGTCTCATGTCGCTCATCACGCTTTTGGACCCTGCAAAAGTCTCTGCCGCCTAGGCCGTAGTTCCTGCCCCGAACAGATAGGGGTTTGACCAAAGTGGAAAGAGAGAGCCGTCGATGGTCCGCATTCAGCAATTCTGGACAATAGGACAAGAGAGCAGGAAGGCAAGAGAACCGGGCAACTGCGACCACGAGTGCCTTCCCTTCGTTTGCCAAGACAGGCCTTCCTGAGTTGGAAGGAGCAATTCGCAGAGAGGCGATGCACGGAAGACACGCCGCATTATGGCCTTCTCTGGTTCTGCTCGACTCGGAAACGCTGTGAGTCGTACGGAGTATTTTAATTGTCTTGGACATGCTGCACACGGGACGGAATGCAACGGTAAGTACGAAATAGAATGGAAAGAAAAGGGAAAAGGGGCGTCTGAGGGCTCATCGCTACAGTACACGTACGGAATACGACGCTCATCGCCATCATTTATGACGGTGCATCGATGCGCGTGTTACTTTTACAAAGGACAACGAAGAAGAAATAAATGACACGAACGAGAGAAAGAGGCAAGGCGCACGAGCAGCACGAAATGGAAAAGATGCACAGAAATAGACAAGGTTGTAGGGGTCTGTTCGCCGGCACGATGGATGAATGGGGATTGGACTGGATTTGGAGGACAAGGGTTAATTGGTGAGTGGCATACAACGTACAAAGAGGCTAAAGGATTGGCTGGCGGAGGACAGAAGCTCAGAAGCTCAGAAGCTCCTCTACCATGACCAGGTTGGTGACAGGCCAGAGGCCCATGGACACCTCAAATACGGTTCTGTGGTGTATGGGACACAGAGGGACAAGAAGAGAAGGAAGCAGGATTGGCAGTGGGCGGCCGGTTGTTTCCAGGGAGCCGCACAGACTGACCGGTGAAAGAGAATGAAGGCAGGCAAGACAAAATGGGACAAATGGGACAAATGGGACAGGGCATAACGGATGAGGAAGAAAAGGCTGGACAAGACAAAAGACCGATATAGACGTGGATAAAGAGCACGGCCAATGGTGGAAAAGGTGAATAAAAGAATAACGCAAATGGGGACAGCCGAGAAGGAAAAGCAAAAAGATGCCGTGGATAAAAATCACTTTACGCGAACGCGGAACCGTAAACGGCACAGCGCGGGTTGTTAGTCGTGGAATGGGAGTGACGGCGTTGGAACTCTGCGATGTATATGTCTTTTCGTTCGTTGGGACGAATCGTTGTTGGGCATGAAGGATGTTGTGTTTATTTGATCTCAATTGGATGTAATTTTGTATAAAAGGTCAAAAGGGTTGGGGATTATGACTTACATCCCACAAGTAAACTTAGAAAGGCGTTGATGCAATCATATGGGCCTTAGAAATCCGACGTAGATATTCTTCTTTCAACTCTGAGCCATTCTTGTTCCGGAAGGGGTGATGCGCTGCGTGCCTTGCTTCTTTGTTCTGTTTTCGGCGGCCGATGCATCCCTTGCTCTCCGGTTTTGGTGATGCCTCAATGCACCATTTCTTCTGAACGCCGGATTGGTTGGGCCAACAGGTTGTGACGCTGTCCCTTTGAGGCTTGCATACACCTCTTTGTTCCCAATGAATGAGAATGTACAGTCTGTCGTGTAGACGAGAGTAGATAGGAAGAATAGGAAGAAAAGGATGAAAAGGACGAAAAAGATGAAAAAGATGAAAAAGAAGAGAAAGAAGAAAAAAAAGAGAAAGAAAAAAAATTAATTCAGAACAACGTTGCCAAATATCATCTCCTCTGAACCAAAATAACGCAAGAGACAGCTGTATCACCGCATCCCGAGGTGTATCGTCTACAGCTCAAGACCGCACCACTGACTCACCTTACCGACAACATGGCGCCCCGTTCCAGTAGCCCGCGCATCATCACCCTGAGCGATCTCCAGGGGGACAGAGGCGGCAATGCCTCCGTGGAGGACTCCATCCGCCAGCTCACACGCGCCATCCGCCAAAACGGCTCCGAGTGGCTGCCGACGGACACCCATGTCAGCTACACCGAGACAGGCGGCAACAACAGTGGTGACGATGGCGGTGACAACGGCGGCAGCAAAATTCGAGGGTTTGGGCGTCTTCTGGGGCGCGGTTCCGACCGCGCTACGAGGAGCAACAGTGCCAGGAAAAAGAGCGACAGCAGCACCACTGCCGTCCGCGGCTCTATCTCTAGAACTAACCCGGACGATATCCCGTATCAACTGCGTTCGCGTGGCCCGTCTGCATCAATGCCAGCCAGTAGTAGGGCAAGTAGCACACTCCGCGACAGCAGCGGTGCATCTGCTCGGGGGACGGCTCGCGGCAGCCGCCGGGGCAGTGGTGGTGCGGCTTCTAGACGGACGGGAAGCGGGCATTCAGCGCGTGGACGGGGTGGTGCCGACAACAACAACGATGGCACGTACCCGGTAGCAACTGCCGAGCCCGAGGAGGCGGCAGAAGAGCCAGAAACTGGCAAGGACAAGCGGGAGGGCAGGGCACCCGTTCAGTCTCCGCCGCCTCTCCACGACAGCGTGGCACCCCACCAGTTGCCTATTCTCGAAGAAGAGTCGCAAGGCCCTACATCCAGTGCTGTTTTCGTCCCCGTTGTTGTCCCCGGTATTCCAGCTGCTGCTCCTCTAGCTTTAGCTGCCGCCACAGACCGGCCACTGGACAATGCATCGGCGTTTGTCGAGGTCAGCTCGTTTGACTTGTCTCAGTTGGAGATCAAAGATCAGAGTGAAGGTGATAGCGAAAATGGACAACATGGCAGCGAAGAAGATGATCAACTCAACATGGATATCGGCAAGCTTCTTGACGACGGGGAGGTCTTCAGTGACCTGAACGACCTTGATGAAGACCCGTACGGCGACGACAGCACCCGCCAGCATCGGGCTATCAAGCAGGCCTTTCTATACCTGGCACAGAAAGACGCGACGAGCGATCCGCAGTGGCACACGAATTTCGCAAAGATTGAGAAGTTTATCAACACTCTGCTGGGAGCGAGCGAAGACGACGCCGATAGCAACAGCAATCGCTACGCCGGAGTCGATGAGGGACTGGCAAATGCCCTCGCTGCGGCAGAGGCGGCACTGGCAGCGGAAGGTGGCTCAGCCGAGACTCTCGACGGACGACAGCATGTACGTCAACAGGCTACCGTGGACCACCCCTCGCAGCTGCTTCTTGGCGGCGTCGACTCGCTTATGAGGGCGATTCGAGGGTTCAACGGACACGACATGGAACCTCCGACCCCTGCCCGTCTCCTGGAAAGGGCCGACGGCTTGCAGAGCCAGGTTCAGTCTCCGCCGCTGCACGAACTGCTGCAGGCATCGGGGCGGCGATTCGCAGGCCATTTAGCATGCCACGCCGAGGCAGAGCGCATTGTCCGGTCGGAAGACATGCAAGGTACACATGTGGGCGTTGCACCGACCGGAATTCTCGACCAAGCTCCCACGGCACAGCTGGAGACGCATCCCTTCACCGTCCATATGGGACGCTATCGCCGGTTCCGACAGCACTGGATGCAGCAGGCGCGCCAAACAACCGAGGCGGCAAACAGCAATAGACGTGGTTGGGCGACGCTGCCACCTTTTGAAGGCGCCTACAGTCTGGGACACATCGGCGATGCCACCGACAGCAACGAAGACGAGGACGAGGACGAGGATAGCTCCCTGTTCACCCGTTTGCCGTTGCCCGTGCCCATGGAGCGCGACCGACGCCTGCTTGTGCTTCTCCGCGGACTCGGCCGTCTGCTGCTTCGCCGTTTGGATATTGCGCCGCGGCCGTTTCTCACCGAGGTGCACCGATACGTAGAGTCAGGGTTGCGTGGCGATGCCCCGGACGCCTCGCTCCGCTTGCGGGAACGTTTTGATTTCGAGCCGCAGTCCACCTTCCCGACCCCTCGACCTGTCCGGCGAATCAATGAGACCGAGGCTCGGTGGTTGCAGTTTCTGTTGTCCGACTCGACCAACGAAGGACTGTCGGCGGAACTCCCTCGGGGCCCGCACCTCGACGAAGACACGAGCGTCGATCCCGATAACGCCGAGGAAGTCCACGACAAGACGCTCGACGAGGGCAGCCGTGCACTGTACCATGTATTTGCACACCGCTTTCAGGCACTGCTGGATGACCCTGGCCGGACAGTGTTCCGCACAGCCGACACGCCTGTTCCCGTGACCGTTTTGATGCTGGCCATCAACGGCGTGCCGAGCGACCCCGATGGCCGATCAGAAGCGACGGAGAAGACGCAGTTCTGTCTCTATGACGTGCTGCACTTTTTAGCGCGCCTCAGCCGTGCCGGTCGATGCCGGTTTGTCCACTACCCATTCGAAGAGACGCACGGGTTCGTGCAGCGGCCGCTGTTGGATGTGCATCCCGAGCACCGTATTCACTCGACATGGGTCACAAGATCACAGGCCACACCGGCGAGTGCGGACGAGGCCATTGGCGCGCCCAGCCGCTCGATCGATGTTGACGCCAGTTGGGCCGAGACGCTGAGCAGCGGGCATGCAACTGAAACCACGGCTCTGCCGCCCAATGTGCGCCAGTTTTTCAGTGCCTTGGCATACCGATTCGGCAGGACACTGCGCGAGCTGGAGCTGGTGGAGCGCCCGCGATGGGAGCCGTACTTGCGCCACAGGCGGGAAGGCAGGGCAAACGCCATGCGAGCGTCGATCCGCACATGGCAGAACACGTACCACACGCTGCTGCACCAGAGCGGCGCTCTGTTCGAAGCCCAGGCCGAGGGCATCCCCACCAGCTTCGCCGACGTCCTTCGGCTGGCGGACCCAGCCAAATTTGCGGAACTTGAGGCTGCCGACGGCGGGGTGACTGAGACGCAGGCGCGTGCTGTTGTACAGAGTCGTTTGATCGATGAGGCTGCCTCGGGTCAAGCGACGCCGCTCGCCGGGTGGCCGGCCACTGCGACCTCCAACGCAAGCGCTGCCCTCTGGGACTGGGCACACCCGTCCATTGTCGGTGAGGCGCCGCAATTCTTCCACAGGGACCGGTGGCCGCTGCACCTGCAGACAACGGAAACGGCTGCGCGCGTGGCGGACGAGGCGCGCATCGCGCTGGACCCGGAACTGCTGTGGGATCCGGCGAGCGAAGACCCGGCTTCGCCGCAGTACCTGTGGCTGTGGTCGGGACCGAGCTACGGGTACCAGAGGATGAAGAGGGTCGCGCGGGAATACCACCTAGGAGACACGGAGCTGAAAAGACAGGTAATTGCGCGGGACTTGACGAGGCGGGTGGCTGCGGCGATTGGCATGGATCTAGACGCCGAGAGGGAGGAGGGGGGAAACCGAGCAAGGGGGTTCTTTGGGTGGCTGGGGTCGAAGTTGCCGTTTGGGCGAAAGCGGAAGAGAAACGAGGCGGACGACGACGATAATGACGAGGGCGAGGAAGACGACGACGGGCAACGGACTGAGACCATCGATTTTGAAAGGACAGAGCTGCCTGCGGTCACGGGCTACCCGCAGAGCATTGACTGGATGGCGTTAGTTCGCACGCGTATGGACGCGATTGCAGCAGAGCAAGCGGACGCAGCCGAGGAAGAAGCAGATGATCGTGATGAGCCAGAAATGGAGTGATGCAGAGGCGCAGTTATGTCAGAAGAGACGGGGTGACGATGCTTCTTTGGGATATGTACCGGGGACTGGATCTGATTGGCCAGTTATGTTTTTGTATTTACTTCGCTCCTTCTGTAGAAAACTTTGTTCCTTCCCCAAATCCCGGGTGCTCCTTCCAAACGAAGTCGTAGGCTATTTATGACGTAGTGGGTTTTTTCGTCCTTTTGTGAAATTACGTTCCTGCCTGGCATGTTGCTCTTTCCATCTAAATTCACTGAATAACCGGCTCCTGCCTACTTTGTTGACTCAGTTTGTCGAACATAAGATGGATAATACTGGAAAACGGAGCATGGAATTTTATATGTATATATGATTTGTAGTAATCACTTCGTCGTGTTGTACATAGTTGCCAAAAATACTAAATAAAATAAAGAAAAATAAGAAAACCAATGAAAAAAAGTTGACATGAAAGCAGAGTGGAGGCATGCCATCATAATGCCAATGTTGCGAAATTAAACACAGATACAACAGAGCTGAAATTGTAGGATTTGAAATATGTGCGTCTTCTATATAGCCAAATTACCATCTATGTACGTCGTATTGGATGACCTTTGTAGTTCTCCCTTTATGAACACATTGTTTTTATGATATGTACAACCTCATCTTACCGCTCGTGGGCCGGATACGACGACCCTACACCTTCTGCCGCTTCGACGGCGACTCCTCTTCCGTGGACGGTGCTGCTTCTGTGGCAGCAGTTGGTTCCCTTTTGAGGGCCGTCTTCACCTTGGCTGCGGGTGCCGGTGTCGTCGCTTCGTCTCCGCTAAAGTCGTCCACAAATACCTGCGCCACGAGCTGCTTCTTGTTGATTTTGCCCATGGCGTTGCGCGGGATGGACTCCACCACGCGCAGCAGCTGCGGGATCTTGTAGTTGACCAGCCGGCTCTTGAGCGCGCGCCGCATGTCCATAACAGACCACTTGGTTGTCGCGTGCTCGCCCTTGGACTGCAGCACAACCACGGCGCCGACCTTCTGGCCCCACTTGCCCGACGGCACCGCCACGACGGCTGCCTCGGCCACGACGGGCAGCGACAGCAGCTCGCGCTCAATCTCGAGCGCCGACACCTTCTCGCCGCCCGACTTGATGATGTCGGCGCTCTTGCGGCCGAGGATAAAGTACATGCTGCGGTCGCCCGTCCAGTCTTGGGATGGCGTGGCGGCGGCGGCGGCGGCAGTGTCTACACCATCGACCGTACGCCGCACAGCCACGTCGCCCGTCTTGAACCACGGTGTCGTGTTGGCGTCCCCCTCGGCGGCCGGCGCAAACTCGCTGGCCGTTGCCGTCGGATTGCGCCAGTACTCGGCAAAGATGGTGGGGCCGCGCAGCTGGATCTCGCCGGCACGCTCCCGGCCCTCGCTGTCGACCGTCTCGCCAGGCGCAATGACTGCGCCACTGTCCACGTCGACAAGACGCGCCTCGACCGACGGCAGCGGCCAACCGACGCTTCCGTCGACGCGGTGGGCCATGTTCAGGCCGCACGAGAGGGCCATGCCGACTTCGGTCATGCCGAACCGTTCCAGTAGCACGTTGCCACGCGACAGGTCGGACCACGCCTTCTTGACGGGTGTGGGCAGGGCGGCTGAGCCGGAGATGTTGAGGCGCAAGTTGGCCGGCGAGATGGCCTCGCGCGTGGCCGCTTGCATCCCGGGGCTCAGCTCCTTGTGCGAGGCAAGCAGGCGGCTATAGACAGTGGGAACAACGGTAAAGAACGTGACAATCTCCTTCTGGGGCATTGTGGTGCCCTTCCTCTGCTCCTCCGTCTCTGGCAGAAACGGCGCGGCAAACCGCTTCCATACGGCATCGGCATTGAATGGGAAGAGAAACTCGACGGAGCTTCCGGAGAACAGCGGGGCGTAGAGGGCGTTGATGGTACCGTGGATGTGGTGCAGCGGCAGCACATGCAGCAGATGATCAGTTGGCGAGTACTCCCATGCCTTGTTGAGCGACTGGGCCTGAGCCGTTATGACACGTTCAGGGAGAGATACACCTTTCTGGGAGGAGGTTAGCGCCGCGCAGTTGTTCAATGAGGCGTATACTTGACTTACCGGCCGGTTGGTCGTGCCTGAGGTGTACAGCATCAGGCCGGCATCGCCGGCGTCCACATGCTCGTCGAGCTCAACCTTCTCGTACGCACCGCCACCGAGGTGCTTGGCCAATGCCACGTGGGTTGGCTTGGACAGGAGCTCGGAGGCCAGCAACTCCTTGGCCTTGGCATCGAACTTTGCCGACGACACGACAAGCAGCGCCTCGCTGTGGTCCACGATATACTGCAGTTCGGGGATAGGAAATGAGGGCGACAGCGGGACGGCAACGGCCCGTGCGGCCAGGATAGCGAGAAGGGTGACTGACAGTCAGCGAATTGAACGAAGAGAGAGAGAGAGAGAGAGAGAGAGAGAGAGAGAGAAAGAGTATGTGTGTGCGGCTACTCACCAACATAGTCGTAGCTGTTTTCGACCATAAAGGCCACGCGCTCGCCGTTGAGGTCGTCCGTCTGGCCGGCGGCCTCGATCATCTGGTCCCGGGCCCTGCGAACGTCACCGAGCAGCTCGCCATAGCGGAAACGACGGCCAGAATGTGAGTGGACGACCACGGTCGACGCAGGGTCGTGCTTGGCAATCGCCTCAAAGACGGGCAGCCGAGGCAGCGTCGGCGCCATGGCAGCAAAAGAGCGAGCGAAAATGGAGAAGGGCGCCGATGTGGTGGGGGCGGACCAAAGTAGGGATGCCGTCTTGAGTGGAGGGGACGCAGACAAGAGGAGCGATGTACACGATGCAGGCAGGAAAGAGGCAGACGGCGAGGACGACGCAAGACGCTGAATGGCAAAAAACACTGAAGAGTGGCCAAGCCGTCGACTCATATAACGCCGCATAACCATAACAAATGCAAAGACGGGGGAAAAAAGACGACAGGGTAAAGAAGTACAAGATAAAAGATAAAATAGGGGGCCAAGCCAATCAAGAATACCGGCTCGAAAGGCCACCCGCTACGACAGGGGGGTGTGCGTGAGGAGAGAGGGGGGCGTGCGGAGAGACCGAGGATCACAGAAGGGGTTGTCCGGGACGTGGAGAGTGGGCAAGACTCTTCTCGATGCGATGTGCTAGGAGTACCGCGTGTGGGTCAACGCTGTACTGGGAAATACAGGAAGTAACAGCGCAGAAAGGGCAATACAGCGAGGAAGGCGCGGCTGTCACACTGGGACGAGGCAAGGCAGGAACAGAGCGTGAGACGGGCAGGGGCAGCCGGTTTGGGGACGGCTCTTTTGGGAAAGTGCAGAGATGGCAGGACAGACCGACCGTACAGAATCAGCAGGAGCGAAGTGCGTTCAGGCAAGAGCGATTGGGGTGCAGTGGTCAGCCGTTTGTGGTGCTCACAATGACAGAGTGGGTTGCAATGGAGCGAAAAGACGGCAATGAGGGCGCGACCAGGTACGGCAAGTCATCGAGGTGCAAAATGATAAAATGCGACGAAAAGAGTCGCAATTGGTCGCTGTGATTGGGCGATACTTGACGTTTGGGTTGGGGGAGTCTTAACCGGAGATCGGAAGGAAGGCGGGCGGTCTGGGGACCTTTCAGGCGAGTTAGTGCCAAGTGGGGAAGTGCCGTCATTGCCATTTGGGGCCAGCTTGCTGGACTGCTTATGCGCGGCATTGGCACGCGAGCTGCTTCCGGCAGGCGCAGACGAGGATGGTAGTGGTATCGATGGAAAACGAAAGGCGAGGCAGGAGCGAAATCGTGGGAGATTGATGTGCTGGAAGGAACATGATGAATCCGGAAGGACCCCGAGGGGGACGGGGAACCGCTTTGGCTCTTGCTGTAAGCCCAGTATGCGCCACATGTTATGCACCGCGGCCTTCGCCGCCGCTAAGAAAAGTTTACCCGTCATGCCACTTTGGCTCTCTGGCTCTCACTACACGACAACAACTCGACGACAAGTGACCACGCAGTGCTACCACCACCGCCGCTATCTGCTTTCGCGACATTGCCGGCATACAATTTGCACCAGACCGCCTTATGCTGACCCGCCGCCTGGCACCCCGCCGCCTGCTCGGCCTCCGCACACAGGCCACCATGGCCCAGCCTCGATCCACGCCGGTTGAGGACTTGATCCGAGAAAGAGTACGTGGACCGAGGCGTGCATGTGCTTCATGTCGCCCACTTGCTAACTGTCACCCGCCACAGCTCGCCCCGTTGAACCCGACACGCCTCGACATCTTCAACGACTCGCAACTGCACGCCCACCATGCGCCCATGCAGGGCAAGGAGCAGACGGGCGAGACGCATTTCCGGCTGGTCATCACGACGGCCGCGTTCGAGGACAAGCGCCAGCCTGCACGTCACCGGATGGTGTATGCGCTCCTGGACGACGAGATGAAGCGGGACGGCGGCATACACGCACTGCAGTTGCGCACCATGACACCTGCGGAGGAGGCGGCGAAAGAGGCGGCCAAGGCCAAGACAGGAGCAGACGCCGTGGGCTGCGGCAAGGACCAGGCATAGGAAGGAGAGGGGGAATACTGACGGCAGGGTTGCTTATGCGTATTGTACGATACGAGTTACGTCACGGCGCATACGACGAGAGTCAAATATAAAGCACACAAAAACACGGTTTCGTCATATAAATGGGACCTGAAAGTAACAATGTCGTAAGACTATAATAATGGCAACGGGTCATAGCTGCCAATGACATGTGCAAATACATGTCCCTGTAATTCCCAGAATGCATTCATAACAATTAATACAAAGGCCTGTTAGGCCGGTCGCGGCCTTTCCTTTTTCAAGAAACTGAGCCAAGAGGGCCGTTTCTTGGTAGCCTCTGCGGTCTTCTTCTTTTTCTTGGGCGGTTGCGCGTCGGCCGCAGCCCGCGCCATCGAGGCCGGCAGCACCCTCTTTGCTGCAATGGCTTCCCGCTCTTTGGCAGCTGCTATCCGCGACACGATACCAACGTCGGATGCCGCAATGGTAGTACGGCGTGCCTCCTTGTTGGCGCGGCTTGGCGCGTTTACTGGCTGGACCGGTGGGCGTCTTGCTTCGGCAGCCGACTTCACACTCAGGAGGGATGTCTCAAAGTAGTCGTCGTTGTCATCGTCATTGTCGCCATCACCGTCGTGTTCATCGTCGTCAGAGTTCATGGCGCCAGCGATGGCGCCCTGAGCGGCATTCTCTATGGTGATACCCTGCTCTGGCGTGTCTGCCGGCCGCAGCGCCTTTTTGGCAGAAGAGACGCCTCTTGTTTTGGTTAAAGGCATCTGACGACCGGAGGTCGCAGCCTCTCGGGGCGTGTTTGCTCGGGACTCTTGGCGGCCTCGCTTGCGGCTTGATGCTGGTCTCGCCGGCGTTTCGAGAATCGGGGTTTCAGGGCCATGGCCGGCGAACTCTTGTGTCGTCGGACTACGTAGTTGCGTGTACTGTACGGGATCAGGAGACCGTAACAAAAACTCCCGTGTGTCCATCCCTTCCGGGACATCTGCGGTTTGGGGCAGTGAGCCTGGGAAGGGCAACTGGTCGTCAAACGAGCCGGCCCAGGACGACTGCGTTGCACCCAGGACAACAGTACGGTGCGGCCGATCTACATCATGTTGCTGGCTCTGGCTCCGGCTCCGGCTGTGGCTTTGGCTTTGGCTTTGGCTTTGGCTCTGGTTCGGGCCGAAATGGTCGCGTAGTAACTTATGACTGTCGGTACTGTTGGAGTTGTCGATGCCATTCAAATTGTCAAGAATCGAGTTGCTTGGCCAACTCGACCCAAGAGGGCTGGGCTGTTGCGCGGCCTCAAAGGGGAAGGGTCGGCCTGGCAGGATGCTCTCACTGGGCTCGGGCTTGTCAGCCGTGTCCGGAGGGGGTGCTGCCGTAGCACCCACGACGCTCACCTCCGTTTCGGCGCGGGCGCTGGAGGCCTTGGCCTGCACGTTTGAATGTTGCGCGTTTGTCTGAAAGGCCTTGACCTCGTCTGGGTATGCCTTGAGGATGGCAGCCACATTGGCTCGAGTGATAACGTTTTTGTCGTGGACCAGCGCAGTCGAGTGCAGATTGTACCACTGCGCCAGGTTTTGTGGCGCGCCCGCGGCCATCGTCTGCACGTATTCGATGTAGTCCAGGAAAGCATGCACGACGTCGTCAAATACATAGCCAGGCAGCGCCTCGGGGCTGATGTGCTGGAGTGAGTAGCAGGCCCGCAAAAAGTCCTCTAGGTCGCCCTTGTAGTCCGGGTATGTCGCCGTAAACGACTCGTACGGCATCATCCACGTCCGCGACGGGGTGGGCGAGGCTGGTTTACTGGACACAGTATGCGATGCCGGCGAATGGCGAGCAGACACAGGTGGCAGAGGAGAAGATGCAATGACGGCGTCTTGGACCGTGGTGGGAACACGCGCGGCCAGTGCTGGTGACTCCACAACATCCACCGCTCTGTGTGCGGTAGAAGTACGAGAGAAGGTTTCGGTCCTCTGGACGGCATTCGGCGTTCCGGTGGGGCTTGTGGACAGCTCACTCGTGCTGAACCGAGGACGATCGATGTTGGCAAGGGGCGGACGTCTTAAAGACGGCTGTCGGTTGGGGTTTCGGCTGATCGTTTCGCCAGGTGCTGGCGCCGGTGGCTTTGTCTGTTGAGGAGCCTTTCGAGGAAAGATGGGTGGTTTCATGAGCCTACTCGTCGGCTGTGGCTTGGCTGCGGCCTTGCCTATGCTCGTTGTTTCAGACACGCCTGTACGACGCTCGTGGTTGTTGGCGTTAAAACAAACTTCTTGCAACGTGGAAGTTGCCATGGCCATGCCGCCTGCAGATTGGTGCTCGTGCGGAACATGCGGATCATGTGGCTCACACAGCTCCTGCGGCACCGGGCGTCGTAGGCTTGATCGTGGTAGCCTCGGCGTCGGGCTGCTGCTGGGCTGATCGCCAACTGACTCTGAGAAGGTGCCGCGACTAGGTGCCCGCAGCATCGGCGCATTCTCTCCATTGAGCATGTCGGGGAGCTCGACGTCGAGGGGCACTGGCGAGCTGCTGCCAAGGTCGGGAGAGCCGCTGTGATAAGGCGCCTGGCCCTGCGCCCATGCCGTTGTCTCAGAAAGCCGAGCTGGGGCGAGATGCGGCGTTTGCTGCTCCTCCGGCTGCTGTTGCTGCTGCAGGAGCTGTTGCTTGACCTCATCTTGTTCGGCGGGCTCTTCTTGGGTAGGCTGGTCATGTTCTCGATTGTCATTGCCGTCGTCGTTGTCGTCGTCGTCGCTGGCAAGTTTGCTGCCCCAATCCGGCGAATACTCCCGCTGAGATATTGGGGGAGAGCTCCGATTCTCTACTGCCACGAACCTCTCTGGCCCCTCCTCTGCCTCTGGCTCGCGCTTTATGTCTGGCTCGGCCTCAGGCTCGGGCTCTGAAGCCGGCACCGGTCCTACCGCACTGTCTGGCTCTGCTAGTGATAGTGGCTGCTGCTCCGTCAAGTTTTGTTCCTGGTTTCTGGCCACCACCACCACGCCATTTGGCACTTCCCTCGGCAATGTCGCAGCAGCAACCTGTGCTAGGGCTACTGAAGACGCAGATACCGGCAGAGCAACGGCCGCCGGAGCAGGAGCCAGTACCTCTTCACCGCCAGCCATTGATGCTGGAAAATCTCTTTCTGGTGCGTCATCTGTCCTTGGTCCTGACGCGTTGCCGGCCGTGCTCCTCCGCAACTGCGGTGTGGCTGGTGGTGCTGGGGATCCTGGAGGCAATGCAACTGCCTGGTCCGGCACCACTGCTTCTTGGTCATTTCCTTGATTCACTGTTTGTGACTGCACAGGGGCTGTTTCGGCCACCTTGGAAGCAACTGCCTCGGATGCAGTATCGTCGGACTGTTGCTCGCGTGGGTCGACCTCTTCTGGCTGGGACGGGGCTTGTAGTTGCTTGTTTTCGGCAGCCTGCTTCTGTAGATACTCCAGCACCTTGTCCGGCACAATTTTGTGTTGTGGACCCGGCCTGCCGTCACTGCCGATCCAGGAACTGTCGTCGTCGAGGAGTTGTCGTTGGCGCCGGGAGATGTTGACTGACAGCCTCTTTAGAACGCCGGTCTTTGTCAGCGGCGGCCAAAGCCCGGGCAGATTCGAGTCTGTCGCGGCACCAGCCCCAGACCCCGTTTGCACGCTGTCCGTCATTGTTATTGTGTCTATGTGACGTTGTGCAGTGGTGTTGGGCCGTCGGATGGTGTTGATTTGACAGTCGCGATCCTGTAAACCGTCGCGTTTTTCGGGATGGTCTTCTTTGCCGAATGTGTATACTGCCTATATAAACTTGTAGAGCTCATGGCGCCCTCAGGTCGAACTTCTTCGTGTCACGGCAGCGAGCAAACGGATGCCGTACCGGACGGCATTGGGAAATGTTGTCTGAGACTCAAAGATTGAGAACAATGTCACTGGATGCTGCGTCTGCTGTTTGACGCGTCTGGCCGCGTTTGGAAAGTGCTCCTCTGTGCTCCTTTTGGCGAAAGGAGCTAATTGGTTCTATAGGTACCTGCAAGGGACAATCCTAAGCTCCAATTAAGCTGCGAAATTGCAGCACTGACCTCCACGCACGGAGGTATCCCAATGTACTTCCGACAGTGACATATCTCTGCCGCAAAAAATACTGGTCGCTCCAGGTACCGTGTCCCAGAGCTGGCTCCTGTCTCCCAGGCTACCGGCGCCACCCCGCGTCGATTTACGTCGGGAAGGCGCCAAGGGCATGCTAAGCAGGCGAGGGAAGGTGCAGTGATGATACCTGCCTGCTGACCCAAAGCTCTCACAACACAGACCTCAACCCAGCATCACAGCATCCTCCCCAAACACCCCAACACAGCTGGCACGGGATCTCGCCTGCTGCACCTTTTCATCCCAGCCATCAACACTGTTTTTGCCACCCCCATCTCGATCTCGTACCACCTCCCCGGCTTCTGCGCTTCTGCTTTCCTTTTGATGCACAGCAGAACAATGTCGTAATGGTCCCTGCGGTCCTCGGGGCACATCCTCGTCGACAGCGTTTGTTGTCTCTTTTTTGCACCACCAAAAGGCGAAAGCCAATCATCGCCAACTTTCCGACACGAACAGCAGCAGCACCGAGACGCCGTTTGGCCGTCTGAGCGCCTCACCTGTCCTGCGTGCGTTCCTAGGGCATGGCAGGCGTGGACGTACTTTGGTAGTGCGTCCCGTCGATAATCCGTCCTCTCGAGATCGACACTACATCGCCACAACAAGAAACCTTCCCCCCGACGAACTGCACGTGTCATGTCGTCCTCCAAGAACCCCCCCGCATCGCCGTCCGTGCTCTCCATTGCCTTCGACCGCCGTTCGCGCCGTGGCTCGGTCGGCAGCATGTCCGTGTCGTCCTACGTCGACAAAGAGCAGCTTGCCCAGGCTCTCGACAAGATCCACACTTCTGCCAGCCAATCCGACGTGCTCACGACGTTCAACGACTTTGGCTCGCCGCCCACCGCCGCACCTGTCGCCGAGGCCAAGGGCTCGGCCGGCGACCTGGTGCAGCAGGGCCTGAGCGGCTTCTAC